TCCTCCTCCTCCTCCTCCTCCTCCTCCTCCTCCTCCTCCTCCTCCTCCTCCTCCGCGTCGCGCCAGGCGTGTTTTTGGCTCGGAGAGCCGGCGCCCCACAGCCGCGAACTGCCCCCCTGCTACACGTCGGCCGCCGGCCCCTGCTCGGCGATGGCCAGGCTCCTCCTCGCCGCCGTGATGGCCGCAGCCGCGACGGGCCTGCTCGTCCACGACGGCCCCGCCGACGCGCCGTCCGACGACGCCGAGTCGGGCGCGGGCGCCGCCACGGTGCCCGAGGAAGAGAAACAGCTGCACGTTTTGCGTCGGCGGCGAGGCGCAGAGTCGCTGCGCTGGCGGGGAAGCGACACGGGGCTGCCGTCGAGCGAGTTGTGCCACCATGCGGAAGGGGGGTGGGGAGGCGACAGGGCGACGGCCGAGGAGAGGAGGCAGCGGGCCGGGGCCGCTCGGTGGGGCGGGGTGCCCAGGCAGCCCAGAGGAGAAGCAGCTGCACAGGCACTGGAGCCGCCCGGGGGTCTGAGGCAGCCCAGCACTGGTTTTTGTTAGGCGGGCCCGTCCCTCTACAGGAGGAATATTCAAGAATAGTAAAAAAATAGTCTGGGGACTATCTCTTGCGTATTGTTTGACCATTTCGGACACGCCCGACGTAACACTGGTTCTGGCCAGCAGGAAGGGCGGGCAGGTTCGAGGTCCTGAGCTCCGTCGGCCCCCAGGACCGTGAAAAACTGACCCAGGGTTTCAGAATGCACCAGATGCATTCCGGGAGGGGTCCGGGGACCGATTTTGTTTGGGTTTGGGGCGGATCTGGCATGTAGACATACAGTCGGGGCCCTGAAGAAGGAACCCTTTTCGTTGGAGAGGGGCTCCGCGTTCCCTAAGTGTTTCGCAGCTTGCCTCAGGTTTTCCTGAGGTTTTCCATCGGAAATCGAAGGCTCACTCATGGAACCAGGGGGCCTCGTTCCTTATTTAGGGTTGCTGAGGTCAACGCCCCGACTGCACGGTCGGGCAGCTTGGGGCATCGTGTCGCTCCGCCGTCTCTGGCCCACCGCGCCTCGGCGCGACGCGCGCCCTCCGCGCCGCGGCCCCGGGGCTCCGCCGCCCCCCGCGCCCGTCCGAGCCCGCCGCCCCGCGGCGCGGAGCGAGGTGCGGACCCGCTCGGAGGGCGGCGTGGCGTGTCGGGGCACGGAGGAGGGAGCCCTTTTCGTTGGGGAGGGGCTCCGCGTTCCGTAAGTGTTTCGCAGCTTGGCTCAGGTTTTTCTCTTGTTTCCGATCGGAAGGCGAAGTTTCACTTATTGGGAGAACAGGGGCCTCGTTCCTGATGTGGAGCTCCCGAGGTCAACGCCCCTTCGGTAGCGTGTCGCCAGGGGCGCCCTGGCGGCACGCCATGCAGAAGTTCCCGACCGTAAGCTTTCGGAGCTCCGCGCGGATTGCTTGGATCTGCGCTGGGGCCCCCTGGCGGCGCCTCCGGCGCCGCCCCTGACGCGCTCCGCGTGCCAGTGTCGGCGATGACAAAAGGTATGGTTCCGCCAGGGCGTGGTTTGCGATCGGCACCGCTGGGGCCTGGGGGCTACGACGCTGCCCTCGTCGGGCCTCCTGGGGAGGTCCCCGTCCGCCCACCAGGGTGACCCCCAAGGAGCCGGTTGCAAACCGCACCCTCTGCAAATGACACCCTTCGGAGTCCACGACAGGGAGGGGGGGCCAGCGCCGATCCAAGAAGACCGCGCGGAGCTCCGAAGGTGCATGTGCTCACGTGCTCACGCGTCTCGTCGTCCAGTTGGTGGAGGACGATCAATGGAGAGGAAGCATGTTGCCGAATAATCCAGATGTCGAAACAATGGCTTGAACATGTTTTGAACATGTAAAACAACATGATTGATTATTTGTAAGCCATATTTCTAAAAAGTCTGAACTCATTTTTTCATTCAGCGAGAGGACTGTTAGGGGGTCCATTGTCATGGTATCCACAACCGTTGTCTCTCCTTCCAGGTGCTCGACCCAGAGCTGACCAACGCCGCCCTCGAGAAGTTCCACGTCACCGTGCCGGGGGAGCACGCCATGATCGTGCTGCCCGAGCGCCGCGGTCGGTCGACCACACCGGGGCCCACGGAGGGGGGCGCACGGGGCTCGCGAGCTGCGTCGGCGGTGCGGCTCGATGTGGAGCTCGATGTTCTTCACGCCGACGTCGCCGATGCATCGCCGATGTATCGGCGTTGTATCTCGAAGAAGGAAAAAACGCCATAAACATAAACTTTTGGCGCTTCGCGCGGATTTCTTGGATCCGCGCTGGGCCCCCCCGGCGGCGCCAAGTGCGGCGCCCCTGGCGCGCTCCGCGCGCCAGGGAGGGGGGTCCAGCGAAGATCCAAGAAATGCCTGCGGAGCGCCACAAGTTTATTCTCATGGTGTTTCCTCGTCTTCCAGTATCGGCGATGCATCGACGGTGCGGCGCACCCCCTCGATCCCATCTACTCGGACTCCACCTGAGAAGCCTCCCAGAAAGCGGTGGGCACAAACACAGTCGTCAACCTCGTCGGCCGTTCCTTCTCCTCCTCCTCCTCCTCCTCCTCATCCTCCTCCTCTTCCTCTTCCTCCTCCTCCTCCTCCTCCTCCTCCTCCTCCTCCTCCTCCTCAACCTCCTCCTGCTCCTCCTCCTCCTCCGCTGGTCTCTGGGGGGTCCGCTCGGATGATCCTGGGCCTCCCGCAGGCCACCGGGCTGGCTGGCCCACCGACCGCGGCCCGAGAACGCCGACCTGGAGAACCCGGCCGCCGCGGACCTGATCATCTACGCGACCTTCGGGAAGCTGACCGAGGAGCCGTGCGAGGATCTCCTCATCCGGACGCTCACCTTCGAGGTCGGAGGCGGCAAAGCGGCACGCGCCGAGTCTCTGAATGAGCGTCGGGGGGGGGGGGCGTCACCCCCGCCGACAGCCCCACGTCGACCCGCGTCGCGGGCAGCCACCGCGCGCCGAAGGCACTCCGACCCCCGTCGGAGCGCGACGACGAGGCGAGGTTGACCCCCGTCGGGAGGGTACCCCCCCACGCTCATTCAGAAACCCAGGGTGAGCAGCAGCGTTCGGCGGTCTGCGCGGATGTCGCTCAGATCGGCGCTGTCAAACCTAGTCAAACATAGTCTGGGGACGACTGTTTGAGTATGTTTGGGCATCTGTTGAACATGTTTTGCGTATTGGAGAGGCCTGACGGCCGGTGCCGCCGACCCTGATCGAAAGGGCTAGGAGTGGGGGGAGGAAGCGGAGGATGAGGAGGAGGAGGGGGAGGAGGAGGAGGAGGAGGAGGAGGAGGAGAAGGAGGAGGAGCAGGAGGAGGAGGAGGAGGAGGAGGAGGAAGGAGGAGGGGAGGAGGAGGAGGAGGAGGAGAGTATCTTTTTGTTATTTTCGTCCAAAATCCCCCTGTAGAGGGACAGCCCGAGCTAAAACGCTTGGCCCCCCCCCCCCCCCCCCCCCCCCCCCCGCCTGGCGGCGCCTCCAGCGCTGCCCCGGGCGCCTGCTTCGCGCGCCAGCCAGAGGGAAGGGCTTGGCGCCCGTCCAAGAGATCCGCGCGGAGCTCTGAAGGTGTATGTTCTGAAGCTTGAGGAGGAGGAGGACGAGGAGAAGGAGGACGAGGAGGAGGAGGAGGAGGAGGAGGAGGAAAAGGAGGAGGAAAAGGAGGAAGAGGAGGAACAGGAGGAAAAGGAGGAGGAGGAGGAGGAGGAGGAGGAAAAGGAGTAGGCTCGGAAGCTTTTTATTCCTCCATGAGGGGAGCTCCGTCGGGACAAACATCACGAAGCTGGCGTTCACCGTGGGGAGCGACCTGTTCAACGGGCTTGCGCCGTTCCGCCGGCCCCTGGAACATCGAGATGCGCGGCTTTCGATCTCGCGTGCGCTGTGTTGCCGCTGCTGGGCGTGCTGCCTGCGTGTGGCTGTTGCTGGTTTGTCCACTGTTCCTTCGCGTCCGTCGCGGGGCTTCTCGGGGGCTTCTTGGAGTCCCCGGGGGCGGCCTCTTGGGAGAGCCTTTTCAGGGCTCCTGGGTGCTTTCTATTGGCCCTCTGAGGGTTTCGTGGGGGGGGTCGATTTTTTCTTTTTCTTTTTTTACCCTCTGGGCCATAACGCGCGTTCTGCCCCCTGCCCTCCCCCCCATAACGTGACGCTCCCACCCACAGTGGGTTCCCGGCACTGCCGCAGTCCGTCCAGCACCACGGTCTGGGGGGGGGGGGGGGGCCACGTGATGCCCCCTCCCGTTGCCCCCCCCGTCCCTCCCCCCCCCTTGCCCCCATACGCCCGTTATTGCCGCGAATGAACACATGCGCTCCTCTTGGGGGCAGGTTGGGCCACCTCGGGTTCCCCATCTCGGGCTTCTTCTTTTTGCCCCCCTCGGGACCCTCTGGAGGGGCTTTCTGGCCGCCTTGGGGCCCTCTCAGGTCATCTCTGGGCCCTCTCGGGGGTCTTTTCGTCCGTCTAAGGCCTTTCTGGGGGGCTTCTCGGGACATGGCGTAACTGTGAACATCATTCAACATGTTTTGTGACATCTACGAGGCCGTCTTCTGGGTCCTCTTGGGCCCTCCTGAGGCGTCTTCGGGGCCTCTTGGGCCGTCCTCAGGCCATGTTGGATGTTCTGGAGGCCTCCCTGGCGCATGGGAGCCCTTCGTGGGCCATCTCGGAGGGCATCCTCGGCATCTTGGAGGCGACAGAAGGTGGAATTGGAGGCTTCAAGGGCCGAGGAGGAGCCCCCGGCGAGTTCCCGGCCTCCCCCCCCCTGCCCCCCACAGCCCTCCTTCCGATTGCGTTTCGGGCCCCCGGGGGCAGGGGCAAAGGGGGAGACGGGGGCAGCCGACTCTGACTCGCGCGCCTCTCCGGTTGGCAGGCGGGGGCCGGCGGATTCAACGACACCGCTGCTGCCCAGTACACCTACACCGTCCGAAGAACCGACAGCTTCAGAAGCGTACTTCCTCGGGAGGCCTGGGCGGATCTCTTGGATCGGCGTGGGGCCCCCCGGCGGCGCCTCCGGCCGTCGCCCTTGGCGCCCGCGCGACAGGGAGGGGGTCAGCGCCGATCCAGGAACTCCGCGCGGACCTCTGAGAAATCATATGCATGCCGCCTTCTCGTTCTTCGAACCATGGTTGACAGTGGAGGCACCACCAGCGATGTTACCAACTCGGACGCTCTGCACTTCTTCTACAACGTTCCACAGTGCAGGATGTCTGTTCCTCGGGGCTACCTCAAGGCGCCCACGTACAGGAGTTTCCTGAAGCGCTCGAGATTCATGCAGGTGGAGTGCAGCTTGGACAACGGCAAGCACGAGATCAAGGTATCGAAGACGCATACGGCGATTCACCGCCGCCCCCTGCCTTCTAGAATCACCCATGTGGCCGAGCGTTGTTGCAAGAGCTCTGTCAAACTATCGGACCATGTGTTCCCCCGACCCTTGTGGAAACCCATCGGGGAACACCTGGGGGAGGATGGCGGGGAAGATCAGGAGGAGGAGGAGGCAAGAACGCACAAATCTTTCAAAAACGTATGTGAAATCCATGAGAAGGCTGTAGGGAAGGGACAGAAGCGACGCCGGGAGGGCGGCGTATCTGACCCAGGACCCCCCCCCGGGACCCCCCCCCCCTGGCGGGGAAGGGAAGAAAGGGAAGGGGTTTCCCTTTGACTCAGAGGCGATGTTGTTCCGTTTCGGTTTGTACCGACACGCTTCAGGAAAAGGTTTTCTTCGGACAGGAGAGAAAGCGACGGGCGCAGTGGAGGAGAAGGCTGTAGGGACAGAAGGGCGCTGTAGGGAAGGGACGGGCGCTGTAGGCACGGTGGGGAGAAAGCGACGGGCGCTGTAGGGAAGGGACAGAAGGGACGACGCTGCAGGGAAACGGGACAAGGAAGGACGAGGAAGATGGGGCAAACAACAAAGCCTCTTCTTCACGCCGACAGGGTCGGCAGATTTGATTATTCGACTCGACTGCACTTTTGTGCTTGGCCGCCGTCTGTAACTGCGGATGTTTTCCCCTCTTCTCCCCTCCTCCTCGTCGTCCTCCTCCTCCAGCCGCTCAGCGGCCAAGAGAACACACACTTACGCGGCTACTGTACATGTCAGGGGTGCACCGTACTGGATGGCAGCGGAATGTTTCGTTGATCTCGTCTGGGGCCCTCTCTGCCCCTGCTGAGAGAAGAGTCGCGCCGCCAGCGCCGCCAGGACGGTGGCTTCCCGCCGTTATCGCCCTGGTGCAGTACTTGTTCACCTTCGAGATGGAGTCTCGCGCTTCTCTTCCAGTACTTCAGCGTTTTCGTATCTGCACGTACAACCCTATGTTTATTACGGGGCCCACCAGGGCCAGGGAGATATCGGAAGAGTTTTCGAATATGAGTGCGGTGTTTCTCCCTGGGACTTGCCGACGCCAAGCAGCATATTCAGAACATAGTCCTTTCCAACATCATAGCCACTGGGAGCTCTCGTTCGGATGGACACGGGCGACGAACAAAAGCTGCGGCGTCAGTATCTTTCTGCATCGTAAACGGCTACCACGCAATCTCATAAGACGTATCTATACACCTCCAGCCCGACTGGCGGGCCGAAGCGGGGCGGTGCGCCTCAAATCACGTTCCTCGGACCTCATTTTGATTGTGCTCTATTTTCCGTTGCAGTCTTCATGCAGATCTACGCGATCAGGATATCGGGCTACAGTGCAGGCGATGATTGCGTGGACCCGCTCTCTGGTGGAGGGCGTCGGGGCGAGATGTACGCCGATCATCGGCGTGGACCTCAACGATCGACTTGGGTACAGGTCAGAGGACCGATGCGAAGGGGAGCTCACGATCGGCTACGACCCCCAGACCGAGGAGGAGGACCAGGCCGTGGGTATTCTGGCAGCAGAGGAAGAGGGGCTAGCGGCACGTCTTTGGCACCAGTGTCTTCGGGATTTGCATCTCATGGCCGTTAACACCTTCCACCCCGCTGACACTTAGTTTGCAGCTGGGGGCTACAGCTCACGCATCGATTTCGTTCATATTCCACAAGGTCTTCGCCCGTATGTGGTCAATTGCAAGACTTTACCGCCGGCTGGCAACATATTGCAGGCCATCAACACGCTGGACACACGTGATCACCGACCCCTTTACCTTGAGTTCCAGTGCGCGTTCGAGGCCCGACAGCATCGACGCCACACTTGGGACTACGACAGGATCATGGGCATGCTGCGCGGCGACGAGTTCTGCCAGAACGCAGTGGAACATATTCACCAGACGATCTTGGACATAGACGAGGACAATTGGATTCGCCTTTGCAGCAGCAGGCCGAACGCGGACGAGGTCTGGAACACTTTCGCATCGCTGATCACGCAGGCCGCACAACAGGAATTTGAGAAGCCGACGGTATTGGAGCAGACAAAATCTCAACTTGAAGCAGAACGCTCGAAACTTTTAGCACGCCGTAAGGAGATCGGAAATACGATGGAGACGGTGGATTTCCTCCTTCGTGAAGGAGGCGAACATCCCGAACAGATGGAGATCGAGCTTCGACTGGCACGCATCACGTTTCGCATTCGTCGCGTTTCGCGAGACATCACTGCAGAACGGAATGCTGCCATTGCGACGGAGTTGAATGAGGCTTGGGCTCGACGCGATCATGCTGCGGTGCAGCGTCTGGTGAGGCGCTTGTCTCGCAAGGGACGGGGACCTCGTCATCGACGCCATTTCGATGCTCGGGGTGAGAATTGCGAGGCGCGCGAGGTGAAGCAGTATTTGATGAAGCCAGCTACTGAAGGTGGGTTGGGTGCCCACGCATGCGATCTCACGCGGGAAATGGAGGTTTGTTTCGACGCCTTGCACGAGGTGGACGAGCTCGCGCGCACGGACCAGCAGAGGTACGATGCGATGCAGTTCTCGGACTTGAATCAGGCGCGTGACGACCTGATGGGCATCATCACTCAGCAACGCCGCTCTCCAAAGAGGAGGGCGACACCACAGTGGTCTATTCCTTCAAAGTTGTGGTTGATTCTCTTGGACGAGGAGCAGTGGTCGAAGTTCACTCGCGGCGGCCTCGGCAGCGACATCAGACCGGCGACGGCGCAGGGCTTCGACGAGAGGATCGTTGATGTACTGGCCTGTTTCAGGCGGACGACGACCACTCCCTTGCTCTTCGACATATCATCTTGCGTGGGCCTCGACAAGCGGACAGGGAAGACAGGGCCTGCGGGCCAACGATGGACTCATCTCTTCTGCCCGATCGGCAAGGCTTGGAATGCATATCCATGGCATCGTGGACGCAAAGTTCGAGCCTCTCTCCCTTACTATTGTCACGGGTTTGCGCGACATCGACGCAGGGGGGATGCGATTACAGTGCAAGTTTGCGCATCATGGCGATTACAACGTCAGGGTCTTTCACATGCCATCGTGAACGAGGACGCCACGAACGCGTTCGCCAGTATAAAAGGGGACATCATTCTTGAGACTATCGGGGACTTGTGCACTCCAGAGGACCTCAGATTCCAGCATGCCCGCGCAATCCAGGGGGCCTTCCAGATCGAAACTCACTCGGGGCCCGTAGCTCTCAGGCCGACGACGGGGGAGATGATGGGACATCCTAATCCAGCTAGGGCCTTTCCTTACTACTACCAGAAGGGGATCGAGCCGTTCCTCTCTCATCGGCGCGCTACTAGCTCGGCCCAATACGCTCTGGCACACGAGCCCGACGACATGACGACGGATGTGGGGACCACGATTTACGCTGACGACATCACGAAGTGCGTTATTCCAGGCTGGGGGCCACCGCCGCATCCAGGGGGGGGGGGGGGGGGGAGAGGCAGCAGCTCACTTATTAGCTCTGGCCTCCTCGAGCAGCAGACGTCTTTTAGAAAATCTTGAAAAGGTCGGATTTCGACTTAATGATGATAAACGAGCTACGCTAGCCAAAGTTTTCGGGGCTGGCTGCGCGACACAGCGCAGATTTCTCTAGTCCAGGGCTGTACCTTATCCAGGGCAGTGTGGACGATTCATGCGAGTTTTGGGCGGGTGGCTGGCTACTTCGGGATCGCTACAGGTTGAACGTACTAAACGACTACAGGCGGGCAGGACGGGATTAGGCATGATATCAAACTTCCTAGTGCACAACGCGGCGCTCAGTATTAAACGTATGTCGATCATCGCGTTTGTCCAATCAGCCTTATTATCGGGAATGGAAGGTCGTATTCCAGATGATTCTTACTCGACGGCTTCGGACAAGATTGTACTTCGGGCTATGAGACGGGGGCTGGGGTTGAGGGGCCTCTCGGAACATGAGTCTGGCGAGATGCGTGGATGGTCCTCTCAGCGCTTGTGGCAGCACTGGCGCATTCCACCCACTGCGCTGGAGCTCCAGGTACGTCGACTGAAGTGGTACCAGAGCTGGTCACAGTTTCCGTCTTGTCACAGGCAGGTGCGAGCTGCGATTCTTGGAGGCATGGGGGACGACGACTCGATCGACGAGAACTGGAACATCACCCCCCAAGCGAACCCATGGGCCAAGCAGGTTTTACAGGACTTGCAGTTCGGGTACGAGATCTCGGGGGAATTTCAGGACCTGGCCCCCTCGGAGTTCCCGCTATTACGTCTGTTCTACTGCGATGACTATTCGAAATGGGTCGACATCGATTTCACGATCATCCGAGCGAGCTTTTTTACCAACTCCATCGGGCCGCCGATCGACTCGAACACGATAGACGAGCAGATGCAGGACGACGACGAGGGTGACGAGGACCGTCCGAAGCCATACGAGTGTAACATGCGAGACGCAGGTGGTAGAGTTTGCGGTGAAGTTGTTCCCACGAGGAAGAGTTTACTTTCGCGCGCGGGTCGGGTCCATCGAGTTCGAAACGAAGCTTCTATGTTGACGGTGACCAATCAATGTTTCAGATGCCTTCAAGCCCTGAGCACGAAAGAGAACGCGCAGAGACACGTCATGAGAAGCAGTCAAAGAAACGTTTGTTATCACGGCAGGAGTTCTTGCAGCTCGTCAGAAGTTATCCAGCCTCGGTGTTTAGCGCGGCTCAAACGTTACTGGACCTTCAGATTCACATTCGTGGACGCTGCGCTCTTCCTCCCCCGAGGATAGTGCAGGCGCGCTTGCAGCCGAGGCGCCGTCGTGAGCTCGATGGACCTCGAGACGCTGCTCAAGCGCCGCCAGCCCGCGGCAGAGGCAGGAGCCCCCAGCGGCGGAGGAGCAGGCGCGGCATCAAGCGGCGCGTCGGCACACCAAGAGGCACCAGACAAGAAAAGCAGAAGTTCGCGGAGATGGCAGAGGCAGCAGGCGAGGCCCTCCTATGGGCCGAGGGCGCGCTCAAGCAGAAGGACATGCAGCAGGCTCTCATGGTGCTCCTCAAACTCTTGTGCCAACGCGCACAACAACTGCGCGACCTCGCCGCTTCAGAATGGCTATCCGTTCTCGCGCCGACGATCGCCGAGGTGATCAAAGCAAGCCGGGCAGCAGGCCAGCAATACTCACAAGCAGCGCAGATCGAGGCTCTCAAACCGCAGCTGGGGCCGCCTCATTTGTACATCGCGCGCGCCGTGCACAAGTGCCTGGCGGAGTCGACGGCGTTGCAGACCAACAAGCCGCAGGCGCATCTGATAGTCGACGCGTTCTATAATATGTTCGTGTCGTTGGCCTCAGTCAAAGAGCTCGCACTGATGGTCAGGCACTTCAGGCTCAAGAAGTGCTACAACGACGAGTACACGCGGATCCAGTTCTCCATCGCAGACACCATCTACGTACCAGCAGCCGAAGGAATGGACGAAATATCGCACAGCAAGTTGGAGATCGAGAACGCCACGATCATCGTGTTGGAGGAGCTCGGCGGCAAGGCGAAATGGGGAGCGGCCCCTCAGGGGCACTTGGAGATGCTGGCGCAGAAGGTATTGGACAGGACGAAGCCGAGAGAGGGAGGCAAAGGAGGCCGCAATAAGTAGCTTGGGAAGATCGCACGGCAGCACTCCGCGAGCGTATTCGGCAAAAAGAATCACAGACTCCAGCCACTTAACGGGTTGCGGTCGCCGCTCAATATTCTATTTTCGTGGAGCTCATCGCGCTTTTTGAATTGGGAGTATAGGCTCCGACTTATGACGCATTGGTTTGGACAGTGGCTACTATTCTTACGGCGATGCAGGTTTCCCGATGGTCTATTCTCTCTTGGAAGGTTCCCGATCGGAGTTGACTTTTTGGAGTGCATTGTCTCATACTTACTCGTTCGCGCGCGGATGACCTTCGCCACCTTCGACAGCGGCTACCCCTCCTTCTACGCGTTCTGGAGTATCGTCACGTACGCCGACACTACCTCAAGCAGCCGTGGACACTAAAGTAATGAGACATCCTGAGTGAGGCGAGCTACGCCTAGCCTTCCCCGCGCCCCCCCCCCCCCCCACCCCTCCCACGCGGTTCTTTTCGGGCTCCTTGGGGCCCCTTCTCGGCCAAGGCCTAACGGCCGCGGCCCCTGAGTCGGGGAGCTTCAGAAGAAACTAGAGGTGCGTTTGAGAGGCCGTGAGAGTTGGGCGCAGAGTGCGCGGGTCTCTGCCGCTCTCGACTTGGGACTAGCCTCTTGTCTCCCAGGAGCCCGCTGCGAAAGTCCCTCGCGTCACCTCGTCGGGCCCTCGCGAGTGCCCGCTTGCAGAAGCCACGAGCTGTGCACTCAGCATTCTTTTGGACTGCGCCAGCGGACTCTGGCTAGGTCGCCTTTTCTCTTCATCGCATTTCCTGAAGCGCGTGCTGAGCTACTTCGCGCGCTGGGAGTTCAGCCCAGGACTTCCGTGTCTCCTAAGGCTCTCGGCCGAGCCCCCTGACAAGGCCGCGCTGCAATCCAGTGCGAAGCTGTTGGATGTAGTTCAGAGCCCCCTCCCACCACCCACACCTCCTCCTTGCTAATTCGTTCCCTCGTCCTAGGATCGGAGGTTGAGGAGGGAGAGGGGTGGGGGATCAGAGGGGGGACTTGGATCGACGAGTTCGTTGCCTGATTTTTGACGGGACAGGGGGGGCGCCTTGGGCGCCCAGCCAGGCACGCCCAGTGCCGCTGGCCTCGGGCTCGTCGAGGCCCGAGGGGCATCACCCCCTGCCCAGCGAGATAGTGCAAGTTGCTTCTTCCTGAATGAGTTTCTCACGAGGGACCTGCACGGTGCGTGTCACCAAACACCTCCTTGGATGAGCAGCCTCGCCAGGGACTGTGCGAGGTACAGCCTTGCTTCGAGCGACGGCTCGAGGCCTGCAGGTCACAGCGGGCGAGACCACACGCAATGCCGAGTCTTCTTTTTCTTCTTTCTCTTCCTCTTCTTCCTCCTCCTCTTTATTGCGTAATGTTGTGTTGGCTGTATTGGCTTGGCCGTTTATGCAACCTTGTATGGGGTATAACACAAGTTATTTCCAACCGCGGGGCCGGTACATCTCCAAGGGGACCCGTATCATTGGCATTCTCCATTCCTGCCCGAGTCCGGGGCTATCGTCGATTTTCGGGGACATGGCTCTGTTGCCCGATTCATTGTTCTTTCTGCTCCTCCTCCTCCACCTCGTCCTCTCTCTCTTCTTCCTCCCCTTCCTCGCTCCTCCCTCTGACCCCCCCAGTCCGGGGCTATTGCAGGCTCTTGCTTTCCTGTTTGCGCTGGACTTTTGCCGGCTCTCGTCGCGCATCCGTTCCCCTCTGGAAGAATCGTCTCGGCGATTATTTCTTTGCGCGCGAGTTGTTGGTTGAACAGCTGCGTTTTGTAGCGCGAGTTGTTTGTCCGCCACAGCCCCAGTGAAGATATTGGCGTCAGCTGTGAAAGCATGTGGTCTGCTCCCACGTCCCCCCTCCCCAAAAACTCGGTCGTCGTTGCTCCGCATAGCTTCCAGAATTATCTGGCTTCCAGTCTGAGCAGTCCGAGCGGGTGGTTGGGGTGTGTTGATGTGCCGTGTTGCGTAATGTTTCTGTTGTGCCTAAGTGGTGGTCTTTTCCATCGTTCGTTGAACCAATCCTTCACGACTTCGAATTCGGTGTCGTTGTCGTTGCCCACTTTTTGCTGGCAGCACTTGCATTGCCACCCTTCGCCTCCTCGTCAGGTTGTGTGCGGTCGGTTGTCGTCCTCCGCCTTCTGATTGGTCAGGTCCGCCGGCGAAGTAGTCCCTTCTGTCGAAGGCGTCTACTGCGGCTGTCGCTATTCTACGTCGGACAAGTGCTGCTGTGGCGTTGGCCCAGTCGTAGCATGTCATCTGTGCGTCGTCGATGTCGTGTTCGTGTGCTGCTGTCTCCGCGAGTGTGTCCTTTTGTCCATTGCAATACCATGCATGTAGTGGGAATCCACGCGCCTGGGCTACTTCCTAGGCGAGGTGGCTGTTGATGTGCTGGACTTCGACATCCTCGTCTCCTGTGGCCCCGTAGGTCGAGCTCCTTGCCGATGAGTTCCCACAGGTCGCCGTTAGTGCCCACTTCGCCTGCACGTAGGCATCGCTTGCTGCGCCATCCTTTGAGTACCAGTTCGCTGTCGGTCCAGTAGTGTAGTGGCCCCGTAGTGAGTCGTAGGCAGTCCAGTAGTGCCCAGAGCTCCGCTTTGTTGCTGGTCTGCCGTCTGTCTGGGAGTGGGCCGTAGCGTGTTGCTACGAGCTGGAAGTTGTCGTCAGTTGTGGACAGCCGTGCCCAAGCCCAACCGCATCGTCGGTATCTCCAGTCCGCGCTGCGCTTGCCACCTGAGCCGTCTCCGTAGATCACACGAGCGGGTTGTCGCTGGGGGACTGGATGCGGTCGGCGTGGATCTTCTCCCCTATGTTGGTGGCCATCTCGGAGGTAGTGCATTCTGGCGGCACTGACCATGCTCGTGGTGTGATACCCTGTAGCCAGAACACGGGGGCGTCGATGTGGCTTTCTGCTGCTTGAGTTCATTGGGCGTTCTGATTTCTTGTACGCTGCGTCGTCGCTCCTGCATTGGCATCGCTCCCATATTCGGTGCAGGATGAGGAGGAAAACGGGGAGGAGGAGCAGGGAGGAGGAGCTTAGGGGGCCACGAGCAAGTGAGGGCACTCCAACGCGTACCTCGGGGTGGCGGATTCTGGAGCACGGTGTGGCGCGGCTTTGACCGCGCCGCCAACGCGACCGTCTACGCCAACGACCTCGCCTTCAGCGTCTCGAACGTCGCGGGGGCGGGTGGCATCCTCGGCACGGACGACCACGCGGCGGTCCTCGGACGGGGCTGGGACAAGGATAAATTCGTTCCAGAGCGTTCCAGGGCGCGCTCATGGTGTCTGGAGCGCTCCGAGAAGGCCGCGGCGACCGAGACATCCTCCAGAGCCGCCGGCCCTCAGAGACTCTCTCGATATATCCCCCCAGGAGGAGGAGGAGGAGGAGGAGGAGGAGGAGGAGGAGGAGGAGGAGGAGGAGGAGGAGGAGGAGTGGTATCCTCGTCCTGGCTTCGTCGCAGGTCGCGGCGGCGGTCCCCGGCTGCAACAAGAAGCAGCCCATCAATGGCCCGTACCAGACCAGGAAAGGGATCCCTCAAACCCTGACCTTCCAGAGAGCTATTTTTTAGCACTGGAGACCTAAAAACCTAAAAAGCTGAGCGAAACAGCCTAAAACCAAGACGTAGAACAGCTTTGGGATAGGCTTTTAGGTCGGGTGCTATTTTTTAGCCCTCCTGGAAGGTCAGGGAAGGAGGGGGGGCCCGGGGGGGAAACGAGTTCGATCGTTTTTTTGCGCCGCACAGCCCAAAACAGATGCCCCCCAGCCGCTGGCAGCTCCCGATGGAGTGGCCCATAGCCGGGGCATGCGGGGGGCTCCTGCTGGCAGCAGTTCGGGGCACCAGCGAATCGAACTTGTGCCCCCCCTCGGGGTCCCCCCCGCGTGTAGAAGAAAACCAAACGACATAAACATGCACTGTTGGCGCTCCGCGTGGATTTCTTGGATCCGCGCCAGACCCTCCTCCCTGGCGCGCTCCGCGCGCCAGGGGCGGCGCTGGAGGCGCCGCCGGGGGTGGGGGGGGGGCAGCGCGGATCCGAGGAGTCCGCACGGAGCGCCAAACGGTTCCGTTCACGGCGTTCTCTCTCGTTCGAGCTCGGTGGGCCCCGCCAGGAAGGGGCCCAAGGGGAAGCCCTGGCAGCGCGCGCACCACTTCCGCTGAGCGGCCGCCGCGGCGCGCCGTGCCGGGGCCGCCGCGCGGAGGGCGGGCGGAGCGCCGCTGGCGCTCCCCCGCTCCGGCTGCCCCCGCCGGCCGCGCGGGCGCCCGGACCTCGGACCTCCGCCCTTGCCCTGGGATCGGGGCTTCTAGGCCTCGAGGAGGAGGAGGAGGAGGAGGAGGAGGAGATGGATGGAGCCGGTAGGATGGGGAGGAGGAGGAGGAGGAGGAGGAGGAGGAGGAGGAGGAGGGAGGAGGAGGCGGAGAGGAGTGAGGGAGAGGAGGAGGAGGGAGGAGGAGGAGGAGGAGGAGGAGGAGTAGGAGGAGGGGCGCGAGGAGGAGGAGGAGGATGGAGGAGGGCCCCCCCCTCCCCGTTATTCGGACGAGGATGGAGGAGGAGGGAGGCAGGAGGAGGAGGAGGGGTGAGAGTGAGGGGGAGGATGACAGGGGGGAGGTAGAGGAGGGGTGTGAGGAGGAGGAGGAGGAGGGGAGGAGAGGAGGAGGAGGAGGAGGAGGAGGAGGCGGAAGGAGGAGGAGGAGGGCGGAGGATGGAGGCGGGAGGAGGAGCAGGAGGTCGGAGGAGGAGGTAGTGAGGAGAGGCGGAGGAGGAGGAGGAGGAGGAGGAGGAGGGAGGGAGTAGGAGGAGGAGGAAGAAGAGGAGGAGGAGGGACGGATAGGGGGAGGAGGAGGAGGAGGAGGAGGAGGGGAGGAGGAGGAGGAGGAGGAGGAGGAGGAGGAGGAGGAGGAGGAGGAGGAGGAGGAGCAGGTGGTGGTGGTGGTCACTGCATAAGGGAAACAGAATCCCGAGCAGAGCAACACGCACCACGACCACGACGACGCCGACGCCGACGACGACGACGACGGAGACGAGGCGCGCTTACGATCCGCACCGAAGCACGGATTTGGGAAAAGGGCCCACCCTGCAGGTTCGGTTAAACAGCACATCGTTGAGCGGTGCTGCAGCCTCCCCTGAGCACAGGCCCCCCCAGAGCATCAGCCAGACAAGTGGGGTTTGCACCCTCATGCCTTGCTGGACTCTGGGCGCGTTTCGGCACCCTCTCCCCCAACCTCGTCAGGGCCACCGACAAGGGAGAGGGCGGCGGTGGCCGACGCGTCCCCGAGCTTAGAAGCTCAAAGCGCCGCGGCTCAGAGAGCC